AGAGAGAGAGAGAGAGAGAGAGAGAGAGAGAGAGAGAGAGAGAGAGAGAGAGAGAGAGAGAGAGAGTCAGTCTAACAGTGCACTGTCGTCCTTGCAGTAAGTTGAAATCATCATTGAGCTGAATTATTTGTAGGATTCCTCCTGCTTCTCTAATGGTCATAGTGGTGTTGTTCATAGCTTCACATGGCTGGAATAGTCAGTTAATTAATCAGTTAATTTTTACAGTGTACTATATATGCATATATGCTTTGCGTTGAGGTGAAAACAATGGGAGATAGTAATGGTGAGGGTCATTTTTAAGCATGGAACAGGGTCGGTTTACTCTGAAACGTGATTTTTTTCCTGTCTTTCTGACCGTCTTTAAGTCTGTCTCCACACACTTTTTTTATTCACAGTTTATCTTCATTTATTCATAATATTCAAAAGTAGAGTTACAGAAAACAGCGCTCAGATAAAACATACAGTAGTCGCATTTTTGTCCTTTCGTAAATACACATAAGAGTAAAAAAAAAAGCTACCTTCTTGCAAATATTCTATATATATTTTGAGTGTCACCATGTCCACACAGAAAAAAAATACATTTTTCAGAGAGTTTCATAAAAATCCTAACTGCAGCTAGAGTATAATCTTGTGGGATATAGGGAGTACGCCTATCAAGTGCCTATCAGTACATACAGCAACTATACAAAATATTCATAGTTTTTCTCTCCTGCGTTGCACAAAGACAATATATACACAATGGACTATTAAGAAAAAAATACTATTTATACCTGCTAAAAGCTAGTGGTTGTGAGTGCAGCATGAGAACCCTTTAAAATACCTGAAAGGTTTTATTCATATAAAATAAAACATCTGCAACGTTTTTTCTATTTTTCTGTGTTAATGTTTCTACCATCTGGAGGATTTAAAGATTTAAAATGCAATCGCAAAATGGACAGTGTTGGATGATAACGCTAATATCAAATATTAAAGATTATTTTTTTTCTTTCTCTCATAGTTTATTCTGTATCTGTTTATTATTATTTACAGTTATTTTTGCTGTTTGCAAATAAGCCATATAACCAGGAATGTACGCGTGGTGGAGGGGAGGCWGGGGGAGACGCGACATCAGCTGGACGGAGGAAAATTTACACACCTGCCTCTCACAACGAAGGAAAATCCAAGTCTAATCTTTGTATATTTGATCCTCTCGCTGTTGGTAAACAGTGACATTTTGCAGATTAGAGCAACAGCAGTAGTTCCTTCAGCTGGCGCCTTCTTGTCAATGAATGTGTCTGTTTGCAAAGTTTGTAGGACCTGGAARCTGCTCGTAGTTAGTCTCAAAGTACACCGTGTGCGCCTTGATAAAAAGGCCCCTACACATGCAAACCAGTCCCCTGTCTCCTCACAGTGATTGTTTAAGTTTAATCTTATCTGACAGCGCTGTTGTTTCCACACAGCTTCAACTTATTAAAAAAAGGCAAGCAACATAGCTACGAAGTGTAAGGAAAAGCAAAAAAAAAAAAAAGTAAACGGGTAAGCGGTCTTGGAGAAAATTTAAAAAAAGAGAGGAAATTTAGCAAATTGAAAGTTTTGGCTGCAGATAAACACAGCTTTGCATGCGCAGCGGTCTAACTGTTTGGATGAACAACATGAAAACAAAAAAAAAGTATAGAAGAGCGAAATAAAATGAAACATTAATCTAGTTACAAAACTGAGTTGCTGCCAGATAAAAGATTTTTGGAATAGCTTTTTATTCCGTCCCCTGTGGACTAATTACCACAGTTTTCTTTCTAACCTTCTCCAACTTAGTTAGTTGTGCCAGTTTTCTGGGAGGGTTGTGCTTTTAAATTATACTATTATTGTGAAATTAAAAGTGAGAAGTGGAAAAGACCGATCTGTTTCGTGTGAGAAGCTGAAGAGAAACAACTCACGCAGTAAACCCAAAGCGAGTGATTGACTCCATTTTGAATCTTCAAATCCTCCTTAGTGCATCAGTTTTTGAAGAAATAAGCGAAAACTGCTATGACAAACATAGTTTCGTAGACTTTTAGCGTGAAAATGCAGCATTTAAACATATAGGCAATGCGATATAGCTAGTCCCTGTCATCCAGCCGTCACTCAAAAACAGCATCTGTTCAGGTTTGACAAAAATCCAGATTCTGTTTTGATTTTGAGCTTTACAAACAGCAGATTTTAACGTACAAAACAGCCAAACTAAGCTATTATCACATCTTCTTTATAATCACTATAATGCAGTTATTACGCTCTCTGTGAAGAGGTTTTTGTCAAGACATCATGTTCACTAAATGAAGCGCGCAGTCCTGCCCTACACGCCAGAGGAGAGCTTTTTCCAACAGCACAAACCCCGTTTTGAGCCTGGATGATATCTTTTGTTCGTTGCGCTGATGAGACGACCCGGGCATGTTTTAGCCCCCGACGACTAAACCCGCGGCCCCTGGTTGGGTTCTCAGTCACTTCGGCCCTTTTGGTTCAGTTCAGCGTGACGGGCGATTTTTACGGCGCGCCGCCGCGTAACTGAAAACATGCATTCTTGTCGAAGTCCAGCGCATTCCAGCATCTCGTCTGGAATTCATTTTTCCACCTTTAACTGAACTGAAATGACAAAAGAACAAATCTATAGCGCTTTAAAAACAAAGTGTTTCATATTTCCTCGAATAATCCCAGATATTTTTAATCACGCTCGTGTTAAATCTAAATGTTTTCCTTTAAAAAAAATCCTAACATTTAATTCAACATTAGTGCTTATTCAGATTTTAACATGAGATCATCTGAGCTTTTGAGCACAGTTTATTCTTGTGTGGACTGGACTTGTTGCTGAAGCTCTCCCCAGGTTTTGGTCCCTCTTTTATGAAACAGTGATCGAAACAAAAACTAAATTAAAGAGCAAGAAAAGAAGGAAAGAACGAAGTCAAGGCTTCCATGACGCTAGCTGCAGCCAACGCTGCAGACTTTGATTAGAGATGTTAGCACGTTTATGAAAGGGTCGTAATTTGCATTTCTCATTAGAAGCTCCTTAAAACACACACACACACAACTGTATTAGACAATGTTTGTTTTTACAAACCAAAGAAGGGTTAGAATAATTTAGGTTTTTTTGGAGAAATTTGTTTTTATGATGGGCTCATGCAGTTGGGCTCGATTGCTATAGTTCTTATTATTTTTCTTGTTTTTTCTTCTTTTGGCAGGGTGCTTGTGAAACTGTGCGTTTGCTTCATCTCTTGATGGGTTGTTGTTAAGTTTGTGGTTGTGTTCATTTGCCTCTCGTAGACCAAAATAGATATTTCTTTTTTTAATAAGAAATGCAACAAAAGATGAAAATGAATCTGACGCAGTAGCTGTGATGTAAACTATGGCATGTTAAAACATGTGTAAGATTGTAAGTGTTGCGTTGTTCTTCTGACAAAACATAATAATCTGTAACCTGTCTCCTACACACACGTTTTGCGAATCCTTTTTTAAACCCTTTTTTTGATTGTACTTGTAGTGAGATTTATTTTTATAGCTATTTTCTTTCAATTTTGGCACTGATGAATCTTTTTACGACTGTCCCTAAAATACTAATCTGACATGGCTTCAAATACTTCTCAGCCATTTTTTACTTGAGATGGACCAAGATGAAAAGTTTGCACATATTTGTAGGTTTTATATTG